GGACCTGCTCAGCTTGGGCCGGGGGTGATCCGTCTTCCCGGCCACAGCACAGGTGCAGTGGGGCTGCCACCAAATGAGCCCATTTGGGGGGGCCCTGCAGTCCCCCAATCACCCTCAGCCCACCGGGGCAGCTGCCGGGATGGAAAAGCTCCCTCCTTGCACCACGAGTGTCTCGGCCCACTGCACAGCGGTTGTGGCAGCACTCAGTCCCCTGAGCCTCCGTGGTGGAGGTGTCTGGGTGGTTTGGTCCCATGGGAGAGGTGGGAGAAATACCAGCAGGTTGCCATGCATGGGGCAGCAGCCCCTTCCCTTCCTCCCAGTGCCTGGAGTGGGTGTGGAGAGGATGCTCTCCCCGGAGTGAGCATCACTGCTCCTGGCAGTTCAATCTCGCAGCACAGACTCTTGCTGAAGGAATCCTTGAGCTCATCCTGGGTTCACGGGAGCGCTGCTATGAAGTGGCTCGAGGGAGGGCACTTGCTGGGCAAGCAGCCCAGCAGCACAGGCTGAGGTGTTTCTGCCTCTATTCTGGCAGAGGAATGTGATGGGAATGTCTACCCCCTCCAAGGACGAGGGCAGCCAGCGATGCTGAACTGCAGCAAACTTCAACCCTAACTAAGAGAGCATCCCGGTGCCCCATGCACATGCACGTGCCACTGTCCTTGTCTGTCACTGCAGCAAGAGCTTGACAAGCTGTGGAGAGGGTCGGGACGTGGGTTTTGTGGCAATGTGATGTTGCAGAGGTTTAAAACCTGGTGGGCTAAGCCAGCCAGGACAGGGAGAGGCTGAGGTGTCGCGTCACCCCACGCTACACTGGCAGCTGGGCCAAAGGAGGGTCCCAGAGGTAGCCAGGGCCCAGCACCTCAGGGCAGACTCGGCCCCAGCTATCCTGGGACATGGGACGATGCTCGGAAGTGGCACAGCAAGGTGAGGGGCAGGGGGGCAGGGCAGAGCCACCACTCCATTTACAGGAGGCAGGATAACCCCCTGCTGACCCCTTTCACACACACCGCACAACACCCCTAAATCAATTGCATCTTATTATTACAATATCAATATACAATATTCCTACAATAACACCATTGATTTTCCACTCAGAGGCTGCACCTAAGTCTGTTTTAAAGAGGAGGGAGTTAATAGTGCCCTCATTAAAAATCTATAGATTACCCCCCACCCCAAAAAAAGAAAAAGCAGTTTATATTCATTAGGGCTATTGAATATAAAGTAATATGTTTGTGTAGGACATTGGAGTAATGTGATAATCCGTCCGCATATCAGGGAGAAATCCACTTAGCAACCCTGTCAGCTTGACAAGAAAAATGTGCCCATAAAGTCGGGAATACATTGAGGGAGCGAGTGGGAGGAGAGCGGGGACGCGTGTGCACGCGCGAACCTCTGCAGCACCCGCAGAGCTGCGCCGGCCGGCAGATGGGACCACCTTCACCCCAGCCCCCTGCTCAGGCCTGGGACACAGGGGGGCACCCCTGTGGCCCCTGGAGGTGTCTGGGACTGGGGCGTGCCAGGTGTGCCGGGATGGGGATCACAAGGGGGTTCTGCACCTTGCCAGCCTCTGCGGCCCCAGGCAGGGTCACCCACTTGGGACAGGGCTGGTGGGTGCCAGTCTGGGTGCTGGGGCAACGTTGCCACAGCCACGTGTCCCCCTGGGGAGAGCTGGGCTGGGGAGGGTGGCCACAGGGTGGGCAGGGCTGCCTGTGCCCTCCCGCCTGCCTCGGACTCCACTCATCCCCCACCCGCTGGTCACCTTTGCGATGGATTAAGCACTGAAAAGCAGCAGAGCAATCCCGTTTGCGCTCTCTTAGGATGTCAATTGCCATTTTTGTAATAGAAATTCCTTTCACAAGGTAACGACGGCCAGATTTAGAGGATTTCATATTGCTAATAATTCCCCAAACAGCCATCTGACTGTGTTGTTTTAAAAGCCGCTTAGTTTTTTGCTTTGGAGTTTATGAAAATCTCCCACTCTAATATCCCGAGAGCCAGCCTATAATTGTGTTATTAAATCAATCGGAGCGGATTACATTGTAAAATCAATAGATGGCTGTAATTGCATATTAGAAAGTTGTTCTGCTGTTGTTGATTTTTTTTTACATGGATAATTATAATAAGCGTGTTTACCTTAGCACTGATTTGGAAGGAGTCTCACTAAATGACTTATGACGAGCTTGGCGCACCCGCTGCCAGGGGCCATGGCATGGTTTGGGATGGTGAGGACAGTGCTGCTGGCACAGCCACGTGGCTGGCACTGACCCCACAGGGTCCCACTGGCAGCCAGTGCCAGAGCACACTGGGGCTTCAGGGAGGCAGCTGATGGGGTTCAGGAAGCAGCCAGCAGTCCCAGAGGGTCTCCCCAAGGACCAGCTCAGAAGTCCCAGGAGGTGCTGTGGGGTCTTGCTGCCAGTCTGGCGTCTCCCCAGGTCTCTGTGCAGCTCCCCCTTCAGCAATATGGAGCAATAGTCAAGCCCCAGTTGCCCACTCCAGCTTGGGGTGATGCTGCACGCAGGGAGGTGGGCAGTGGGATGTCTGGGCCTGTGCTTTCACATCCAAACTGCTCACTTGCCACACACCTCCCACAGCTCACAGGCCAGGATTTACTTTTCTGTTATGTTTTGGGGGCTACCAGGTGAGGGTCGGCTGGGTGGGACAGTTGCCCTCCCCCTGCCTCGGTTTCCCCAGCTTTTAAGCCACTGTTACCCTGTTAGGTCCCACTAGCAGCTGGCTCCAAGGGGTTCAGCTGTCTGAGGGGTGAGATGGATGGAGCAGAGGGTCCTAAGGACAGTGAGGGGCTCCCTTGAGCAGGAACAAGTGACAGCAGTAGGAGCTGGTGCTGTGGCTTGGCCAGGCAGGACACCTGTCACTTCCAGGGCCCTTCTGCAGCCATAGGTGCCACTTTGGGCAGCAGAGAGGACAAAGGCACAGAGAGACAGGCTCATCCCTGCCCCTGTGCCAATCAGTGGGCTGGGGGCACCCCTTCTTCACTGGGCTGTCCTCATGCCCAGCTCCTCTCCCCTGCCTGGCACACCAGCAAGGGAAAGGAGTGCCATGAGAGAGACCGAGGGGACACTTGGGAGGCACATGGCTCTGATGGGGACATTACTTATTCCACTGCCAACCATCAGCCAGGACAGTCCCTGGCAGCTCAGGGCAGCCTCTCGGGGAGCTGTGCATGGGGAAAGCCCCTGCACCTCCAAGTGACACTGGGGGACAGGTGATGGCTTTTCCAGTATGTCACTGGGTGCAGCAGAGCAGGGCAGCACTGCTGGTCCATCAGGGAGTGTCCAGGAGGCCGGGCAGCCCTGTCCCTGCAGGCAGGCTCCTGGCAGCAGGGCAGAGCTGCCCGGCTGCAGGGGGCCCTCAATCCAGCACACGGCACTGTCAGCAGGCAGCCTGCTGTCTCCTAGACAGTGAAATATGGCCACAATTAGCCCGGATACAGTTCAATTATGATAAACAGCGTTTGCACCCTTTAAGCCGTGATTAAAAGGCCTCCTCCCGTTGATAGAGAGACCTAATTTCACATTATTATTGCTGTAGCTTGATTATAAAGCACTCCCTGGATTTACAGTTGGGAGATGGATGTGGAGGCTTCTTTATCATTTACACATCAGTAATGATGCAGCCTTTCCTCCACCACAACATCCATCCAGCAGTGGCGGGGAGAGGGGGGCCTTGCCTGTGCCCCCCCTTGCTGGGGCACCCTCTCCCTGTGTCAGCCGGGCCCCGCTGCCACACGCAAGTGGGCAAAGTCACCCTTACGGTAACAGCTTGATAAATGGGCGGGCGGTAATGAAATGGAGACATCAAGGCGTGGGGCGAGGAAGAAAGAGTGGTAATCGGAACGAGTGGAGCTGTCCCGAAACGGAGGGGAGCGGGAAGAAGGATCGCCTCTGCGCCGTGTGCTGTCAAGGGAGAAATTACACATTTACTCTTGCTTTTTCTTAAGGAGACGGCCCTCATAGATCAAAACATGGATTTACAAGCCAATTTTCAACATGAAATATAGACACTAGGAATCAATTTAAGCCCGGCTTCTATTTTAGCAAACGGTGCCTGAGTTTAGTCCCAGGTAAATAACACCAGCCAGAGCCTTCCCCCTTCCCGGCTTGCTGCTTTGCCACGGCCTGACACTGGGAGTGCCTGTGGCTTGCTTGTCCCGACCACCTGCCACTTGTCACCTGTGGTCAGTGGGCACGGGACAGCACCAAGGGTTGGCTCTGGTGGGAACAGGGATGACTCTGACCTCCAGGTCCTGGACATGGATCCGTCTCAGGATGGGTTGTATCGGGATGCAGGTGGCCAGTGCTGGTAAGCTGGAGACTTTGCAGTCACCCCACATCACTGCAAGGTCCTTGGGTCAGAGTGCCTGGACTGGGGGGGACACAGCCCCAGCGTGGGATTCAGGGATTGATCAAACAACTCCTGCTTGGATTGTGTCTCTAACCCAGTATCTGTTGTGCTCTCTCTGCAGATGACTGTAAGAACATCGCCAACATCATGAAGACACTGGCCCATAGAGGCTTCATCTTCAAGCAGACCTCCAAACCCTTTTGATCCCCAAGGCAAGCCAGGCAAGGGCTGCATGCGCCCGGCGCCGGCGAGGCGGGGAGGACGGGCTCCAGCATTAAAAAAAAAACGGCAACCGAGGCCAGAGGAACCGACACAAAAAAAAATCTCAATTTCAGCTGTTAACTCCAGTAGAGGTTGTATATATGGGAAGGCAAATCTGTGTAGACCTGATGTGACTCCCTCTCTGGGCTGCTCCGGACATTATGCCATGCTAGCGGACAGCCGCGTAGGGCGCTTGCACCACATTTTAGACTCGTAGTTTGTTCTTTTTCTTTGGCTCCTGATTTCCGTCCCTCCCTCCATATCCCACCCCGTCCTCCCTCTCCCGCCCCGTAGCCAGAGCATCCCCCATCTCCACCCCGGCATGGGCCGTACCCACCTTTCCTTCTTCTTTCTCTTCTCTGGTTTTATGTTTTCAGGCCTCGATGGCTGCTGCAGCAAGGCCGGTGTGTGCCTGCACTCGGGCAGCGCTCACGGAGGCTCAGCGTGTCGAGACGGCCCCTCGCCCTCTCCGCCAGCCCCCCCGCCTCTCCCTTGAGCGCCTTTTCCCCTTTTTGAGTCAACACTAACCCCTCTCTGACTCCTGTATGTGACAAACGCGATCCGTCTCTTTATGTTCAAGGTGAAGTGCCTGTATTCTCCGCTGCAGAGCCCCTGGCAGCCCCACCGCGGGCTGCGGGGCCCCAGAGGGCTCCCTTCAGTGGGGCGGGGGCCCGGCGGGCGGGCGGGCGGCAGGAGGGAGGTGACAGTGTCCGCGTGGAGCCCCGTCCAGTCCCCGTTCCGTCTGCTCGTGCCTCTTGCGGGGCTGGGTGGGATGCCCAGCCCTGCCCCGTCCCCGCCCATCCGTTCCAGCTCCATCGGGGACAGGCGCCCAGCACCGCGTCCGTTGCCGGCGGTGGACGTGCCCGCGCGCGCTGGCCCCGGCCCGGGGCACCCGAGCGGGGCAGCTGCAAATCCGCAAATCCGCAAATCGCCCCCGGCCCCGAGCGCGCTCCCCCCTCACCCCCCCCCGACCTCCCTCGGTTCCCGAGCTGAGGCTCGGCCCCCCACGTGCCCACGTGCTGTGCCCCTCACAGGTCCCTGCGGACGCTCAGCAGCAGCTGGCTTGTTGCCTGAGAGAGTTGCCGAGCACATCCCCTCCGGCTGGGTGGGCTCCCGGCCGGCCGGCGCGGTTGGGGGGCAGCCATGGGGCGGGCTGAGGGCGTACGTCCCCTCGGAGTCACCCAGCCCCGGGGCCCTGCTGAATGGAGCCCTCGTCCGGGCGCTGACCTGCAGGGAGGCTGCAGCCCCGGGCCCGTGCGTGCATGGCCTGGAGCGAAGCCGGTGACGGCAGCCAGAAGGGCAATACAGGCACTGAACTTGGCGGTACATGACTGCATGGTGTGTGGTGTTCCAGTTAAACCAACCGATAATGCAACCCCAGCATTTTCATTGTCTAGTTATTCCAATCCTTGCTGTAAATGTGCCACATGAATAAAGTTTGGGGGTAAAGGAGCCCGGGCTGTGCCCATGCACGTGTGAGTTTGTGTGGGGGGCAGAGGCAAGGGTGTGCCGCCTGGGTAGGTGGGAGCAGGGTGCTCCTTGGGGTATGGCACATCCATGCTCCCCGGAAAGGCAAGGTCTTGGACTATGAAAGGGCGGTCGAGGTTCCCTGCTGGGAACACTGCCCTGCTCTCCAGCATGGGCACTGTGGGTGGGCAGCAACCCCACCACCACCTCGGCTTTGGTTGTGCCCCAAGGCAGCTCTGCCCTGAGGCTGCCACCAGCCTGTCACAGCTGGACTGTACCCAGGGTGCACATCTGGTGCAGTGTGACAGCCGCTACCATGTCCCACTGGCATCTGTCCTGCCACCCTGCAGCCTGGCAGACCGTTCCCACACAGCCACTGCTGCACTTGGAGCATCTCAGCTACAGGCTGGGGCCAGCGTAGCTCTGCCCTGGGCACTGGGGCACCCACTCTGCCCCAGCCAGCAGAGCCAGCACAAGTGCAGCACCAGGGAGTGCCAGAGCCACACCCAGCTGGGCAAGAACTGCCACCGTTTCCAGGTGCCCAAGAGACCTGCCCGGAACCAGGGTGCCACTGGGTAATAGGGTCACAGGTATCCAGCTGGCACCAAGTGGGCAGCTCCCAGAGGGAAGGGGCAGCCACTTGTTCCATGCGAAGGTCACAGGGGCTGTACCGGCTCCCTGTGCAGCCCCAATCAGCTTTATTGACCCGTTTTCGATGGAGTTGTCTAATTAGTTTTTTATGAAAACTAAGAACTTGGCCTTTGCCCTTTACTCCTGCAGGCAAGAATGTGACTCAGAGGACATTGTCACGGTGGATCGATGGTCAGTCACACTTGAAAGGCAGGTGGAGGGGACACGGGGTGGGCAGGTGGGCAGTAGCCCAGAGTGGGGCACGCAGCCAGGGCTGCCTGTGCCAGGGCTCCCAGTGCGATGCCTCAGCCCCTCCAAAGCTCTGCAAAACATGAGGTGCAGTGACCAGGGGTGCCTCTCACCACATGGAAACCTTGGGCAAGGCAGCAGGAGGAGGAACTGTCCTGACAGTGGGGGGACAACAGGAGTGTTTCCAGCAGGGGCATCCCTTCACCCAAGCAAGCTGTAGGTGTCAGGCATGCAACAGTTGACGGAGGTGAGCAGTTGCACAGGGGCTGGGAACGTGGGATGCTGGACAGAGCTCCCCAGCCCGGTGTGGGCAGCGCAGCAGCAGCCTGGAGCAGCACTTGGCAGCCCCAAAGTTGCTGCAGCAACTCCAGCTGTCACCTGGTGCCTGAGGCGGATGGGCTCAGGGACAGCCACCGGCAGCCAGGGCTCCCAGTAGGGTCAAGCAGTGCCCAGCCTGCCTGAGGTGGAGGTGAGACAGCTCCGTGCAGGCTCACCAGGGCTAAGGATGGTTCTGCTCTAGTACAAGTGATGGGCTCTGTATTTACAGAGCACGTAAAAAAAAAAGTCATAAACCACAGCCTGCACTGGTGGCCACAGGGCAGCCGTGGGTGGCCTTGGGCAGAGCCCTGCACAGCCCTGTGGCCACCCTCGAGCACCTGCTGCAGGTGCCCAGAGGTCACACCACTCTGAGGGCAGATGGGGTTGGGGCCATGGCACTGGGCAAGGGATGGCTCCCATTTTTCTCTGGAGCACTGCAGTGTTTGCCCCAGCAAGGTCCCCGTCCTGCCCCACAGCTGCAGGCAGCCATCTGTCCCTGCCAGCTCTGGGACAGCTGGCACTGCCCCTGCACACAGTTCCGCACCTCCTCCTCACCCTGCACAAGGGGCTCATGGTTTCTTCACCTTTTTGACAGAGGAGGAGTTGGAGGCCAACTCCCTTCACTTTCTCTGCTCCAAGAGGGAGACAGGAAATGAAAGAAAAACCAGGGTCAGCAGGTGGGAGTGCCCAGGTCATGCAAACACACCCACCTGTCCCAGAGCAAACTCCAGGGCTCCAGCAGCACTCTGGGCAGAGCCCAATGGACCACACTGCCCGGGTAAGGGAGAGCCAGGTCCTTGCATGACCAGAGGGGCAGAGCTAATCCAGCAGTGACAAGGGGCTGGGATGGCACCCTCACAGGGGATGTCACCTCACTGACATGGACAGGGCTTTGGGATGGTCAGGAGAAAGGGGTTGAGCTCTGCAACAACTCAGTGGCCCCAGGAGCCCTGACCAAACAACCTGGCGTGCACAAAGCCCCAAGGATCAGGGCCTTGAGAGAGGGGCAGAACAGCTCTGTGCTATGACCAGCTGTGCCAGGGATGCTCAGCATGGGACAGGGCACAGCCTGGAAACCCTCCTCTGCCATCCAGACCTGCTGTGATGTGGCCCAGGAGCAGAGCAGGAGGCTGTCAGAGAACCACAGCTCCTCAAAAAAACTCACCACTTTTCTGGGCAGTGTGCACTGATACGCCTGAGTGCAGCTGCTGAGCCTCCCCTTCAGAGTTTTCAGGGTTGAACCTGGCGTAGGAAAGCCAGGGCCATTTGCACCAAACGAGATGGCACCCTGGGCATGGTTCCCTGGGCATGGTTCCCTGGGCACGGTTCCCTGGGCACGTCACTACACTGCGGTGAGACTGTGCCAGGCACTGCACAGCTCTGGTCATGACCACGGCAGGGTCAGCACCCAAAGCTGGGATCTGCGTGGGGGGTGCCCCAGGTGTGGCAGAAGCACCAGGTACCCCATGCCTGGGGACACGAGGTGCCAAGGCCCTGGGGCACCCACGGCACAGCACGACACCGAGTTCGCTTGGCACAAGGCACCGCAGGCAGCGGCAGAGGCCGGCACTGCACCAGCACAGTGACTCTGGTCAGGACCCCAACACGCCCAGCCCTGCAGCCATCCCCAGTCCCCAAAGCCTGCAGAGCCACTGGCCGAGCCGGCAAACACACAGGGATGGACAAGCACCGACCCGCTCTCTGGAAGGAGCCAGGCCTGCCCATCCCTGCTCCTCCATCCCTGCCAGTCCCGCACGCGTTTGCTCCCGGCGGCAGCGCACGTCGTGGGAGGCCCCGCTGCCTCCCCCGGCGGGAAGCAGCCCCCAGTTCCCGCCGGGCAGACGGCAAACAGAGCATGGAATTTGCACGGCTAAAAGTTAAATACAACACACACACGGATTTCGTCAGAGGCCCTGGCACCGCTGCCTTCGCGGGATCCGATTAACAGGGAAATAAAAGGGCCAGAGAACCCACACAGCAGAGTGAGCAGATGCCCTATAAAAATCAAATACAGGGTAATCAAGGGGACCGAAAGGTACATTTAAAAAAACAAAAACCCACCCTGGAAACAAAGGAGCTGGGCTTTGTGGCCTTCCTGGGAGGGCTGCGGAATTAATGGGGAAGAGCACATGTGTTTGATAATCTTTATATGGCAAAAGACCCATCTTTCAAATATGTCACAAATTCATATTAATCACCTTCCTATTGCCTTCCGTGGCACAGCTATTCCAGTTGCCTCGGGCAAAATTGGGAACTGTCTGGTTAAAAAAAATGTTTTACATTATAATTTACAAGAGCTTACAAGTCTAGTTTCTTTTAATGGAAAGAACGATTAAAAAAAAGAGAGGAATATATATACACCCTGGTATATATACACTATATATATTAAAATATATATATATAAAAGACAGATATTGTAACTCCATCTGGAAAGAGAGAACGTTTGATCTTAACAATGTAACTTCTAGCTTTCAAACAGGCTCAGAAAACAAGAAGTCAGCAGGAGTTCAGATAAAGGAAGCTTAAAAGTCAAATAATTCTGACTCTGAACCCGAGACTTCTTAGACTCAAGGTCCTTTCCTTTACCCATTAATGGGCTGACTTGTGAGCTCAGGAACAAAGTGCTGCAATGTGAGGATTTCTGAGAGTCACTCATTACAGATCACTGAGTGGAGTCTGAGTTGCGGAAATCAAAGGATCCAATCTGGAGTAACTGGCTGAACTTCTGCTTGGAACTAATTTGTTCCGAGTTCGGCTCACCTTTCACCTCCCGAAGGCCCCGAGTAAAGTCCCTACCGGGGTCAGCCTCAAACAGCACTGGGGGGATCCCAGCTTCGCTTTAATGGTCAGCAATGGGCACCGCAGCCCCTGGGAGGGGGTGGACAGGCAGCCAGGGCAGGGGAGAAGTGGTGGACACAGTGGGGCAGGACAGTGCTGGGCTTCCCGCTGCCCCATGGGCTCTCACTGCAGAGACAAGCAGATGCCTCTCCCAAGCTGGGCTAACACACCCTGCTGACATGTCCCCCATCCCCACTGCTGGCCAAGGCAGGTGGTGGCAGACGGTTGTTGACACAACAGTATCTCAAAAGAGCCTGGTGTGCCTTTGCCCATCCATTCCTGGAAATGAATCCAGGCATGTCAGGAAGGGCTCAGGAGTCAGGAGTCTGCCCTATTCCCAGCTTTGCCACTCACTCCCTCCAACATCTGGAGCAAGATACTTCTCTCCAGGGAAACAAACCTGGCTTCAGGGGAGCAGCTGGTTTAGAGGCTGAACTAATCCACGCTTAATCCAACATGTAGAGTGCCGTGGACAGGCAGTGCTAGACAGCACAGAGGGATTCTCCAACTCAGAGGAATTTGAAGCGGGGAGATTAAATGATTCCCCCAAAGGCCCCGGCAGCTCAGTGGCAAAGCACAGGCTTGAACTCGGGAGCTCAAGGCTGGCGTGGCAGGGTTAAACCTCTCAGTCGCCTCCACAAGGGGCAGGGCAGGTGTCGGCTGCAGGAGGCAAGGGAGGGAATTGCCACCACGGAGCACACTGTGCTTGCCCTCCAGAGCTGCTTGTTCCCACCCCCACAGCGCTGCCCCTGCAGGCGCCCCGGGGCGGGGGCAAAGCGCTGTGCTGCTGTGCTCGCAGGGGCTGCTCCCCCAGCGCCGTGTCCCAGCCCCGCTGCCTCCCGCGCTGTCCCCACTGCACCAGGGCCTGGGACACCTCGGGGAAAATGCTGTGCGGGGTGGGGACACGTGCACGCACCCCACCAGTCAAACAGCCAGCGACTGCCCCAGCCACCCCCCTCCTCAG